CACCAACGATCTGACCCAGACTACTTATGGCCTGAGCCGGGATGATGCAGGGGCCTTCCTGCCTGAGTACAAGGCAAAGGGTATCGTCGAGCAGGATCCCTTTGTGAGCCTGGATCAGGAGGGTGTTGGCGAGCTGATCCAGATCGCGGTGGAGCGTGGTCGCCGCAGCCGTTCGGGCATGAAGATGGGCATCTGCGGAGAGCATGGAGGCGATCCGGCTTCGATCGAGTTCTGCGAGAAGACAGGGTTGGACTACGTCTCTTGCTCGCCCTTCCGCGTTCCAATTGCCCGCCTGGCTGCGGCTCAAGCGGCATTGAAATCCCAGGGCGAGAAGGCTCTCCAGGCCTCCACGAAGGCAGCCCGCCCCAGGCAGCAACGCTTCGGCCCGTGGTGAGTTCGACTCGGTGCCAGGAGATCTCGAGCCTGGCGACTCCGGTACATCTTTATGCGCAGGTTACCAGTAAATGCCTGGTACCCTCAGCTCAGGATTGTTTTCAGTGAATCGCGAATGCACTGCATCGACACACAGCTGCAGTATGCGCGGATTTTGGTGCTCGTCAGTTTTGATTGCAGGGCACAGATACTGCAAGGTAGCTGACGTCCAAGTACAGTCTAGTCGTTGGAGCTTTGACAAATCCAACGTAGGAGTACCCTTTCTGTCATGGCCATGGAGGCTGCCTGTTTCAATAGGCTTTAAAGCAGTGTGGCAGCAGCTTGGCGTTCAAGTGTTTAAGATCACTCGCTCGCCATCGGCAGGATGCCCCCAAAAAATGAGCTTGTGCCAGGCTGCTCTCAATGCCTCCTAGGCTGCTATGCTGAGGACTTTATTGCAGCCTACTGGACGATGACCTCTGGGATGCCCCAAAACCATACACAGACATCCTGACTAGGGTGCTGGCATACAGTCCACGAGTTTCCGCTCTCATTGGCCGGGCACATGCAGCACATTCGTTTATTCTGACTGTTGCAGTGCAGTCTGTCTTATTCAGTGCATGAGAATTTGCCCTGGTTGGTGGATCGTTCATATTCAGCCCATGGGAATTTGTTCAGTGATGAGACTGCCGTTGTGCTGTACTGATTTCTGGTAGATGGCATGGAATTTATTGATATTCATGCAGGCTTATGCCCACTGCATGACACCTTTGCTGCATGAAACAAGCTATCTGAATTCCAGGCGAATGCCAACAGAATTTGCTACTGTACGCTGCAAGTGGTACATTCATTGCATGTGGTCCCAAGCCCGTGTATTCCTTACTCCTGAGGCTTGCAAACATGGCAGGTGCCAGAATCATCTGGTGCAATTTCCTACCTTGCAGCACAACGAGATCCCTTGTGACAAGTCAACCTAACCTAGTATATATTGAAACAGAGGAGCAACGTCTCCGATCGACCACAGTAATAAGGACTTAGACCACGCCGCTCGTTACGGTTCTTCATTATCTTTACTTTGGGTTACTCCTTGTTGTGGCTTACATTCACTTCTACCGAGCGCTAGGGCTAAGTCTTTTTTGCGGAGATCGAACTATGTGGAGCCTTGCCTGCCGAGTGCGAGTGTCAGAGTCGAAATATTGCCTGCCTTATGCGAGAGTGAGATTCGAAAGCCTTTAATTCACAAAAGGATCCCTGCCCGGAACCCAACCTGGCGGTGCTTCTGCTGCTCACAAGTCCCGACGGATGGCTATTGTCACCCGGCAAAACTGTGGTGGACTTAGGGGGTTCTGAGAGAGTTAGGGCTTCGAGGGTTCACGAGTTTATTTTTGTCTTTTTTTAAGCTTCCGGGTGATGACTTTGTTGTTTTGCCTTGTTTTCGGGTCCAGGGCTTTAGGCTTGTGCTGAGGATTTAGGTTTCTGGATTCGGGGCCTTCGGCCAAATAGCGGCTTGGAGGAGGGCCCAGTTTACAAGTCCAACGCGCGAAGGACGGCATGACAAGCCTAAACGTACATGTACCGCAGGCCACTATGCGAGAGACCGAGAGACTGCCAGGGCCGAACTGGCTGTATACGCACCTGGCGTGAATGTGCGTATGCCCTTCTCCCTTTGCTCCCAAAGGCATGCAGCCCGCCTGTCGCCTGCGAGCTCTCCGAGCTCTGGGCCAGGAAAGCTGCAGCTGCGCCAACTCTCCAGCACGCTCTCTGGCAGAAGGGAAGCAAGGAACTTAGGATTCAAACTGCCTGAAACTGCCATGGCAATCTCTGGGTGAGAACAGAGCGGGGGCCGCGGTGCCGTACGCTTGACAGGTGCAAGCTCGAAGGCTCGAGGTAAGATTGGGTCTTCTGAACCTGTCATAGACATAGGGCCTGTGTGTGGCAGTCCCGGAGCAGCAGCAAGATGCTGGCACGAGGCTTGGAGATGTGGAGGGCTTGGCGGTGGATGCCATCTCGGAAGGACGGCATTTGGAGCTCCGGATCACCCTGCAGTGGGAGTTTCAGAAGAACTTAAACGAGGCTACCCTGTGAAGACGGATCCTGGTGTTGCGGGTTCCAAAAGAAGGGGCCCTCATAGTTTCTGAAACTCCCGTATGAGCCAAAGAGTCCAGAGTTACCTCTGCAGTTTCTGTGGCTGCGGTCCAAAGAAGATGGGAATGCCTCAGTTCGAGTTTGAGGGCTTCTGAGGTTTCGGGTACTTGCCGTGGAATGTTTCCCGGCAGTGCCCTCATCGCGTGCTTAGGCCGGTGTTGGGTTTGCTATTGTCACCTGGAAGATTCCAGATAGTGCAGCTTCCGCAAGGAGAAAGTCAAACAAGTCCCCACAGGACTAGTGGCTTATCGCGCAGGGGGAGTCCCCTGGCTGCTCGATTGGCAGCAGAAAACCACGCAGGCCTTGCCGCCACCCGTCAGCAACTGCGGTGCTGCTGGTATGTCCAGTCCTGCATTCCACTCCATGTGTGCTGTGCCTGGAAGCTACTTGTAGATGGACCTGAAGAGGACTGGAGGCATCTCCAGTGAATGCTGTTCCTTGGTTTTTGCCGGCTGTCAGGCCATCGTGTTTGGCTTTCTTGTCGGGCTTTGGACCTTTTTGGTTGTGGGGCAGCCTCTTTCCTTTTTCTTGTCGGCGTCTAGGCACGCTGTCGCTTATGAGAGCGTGCTGTACGTCCTATGCTTACAAACATCTCGCTCGCTCTCTCTCTCTCTCTCTCTCTCTCTCTTTTTCTATGCGTATGCATATATGTAGATTTTGCCCCGGGCTCTTGCCAAAATGTACAGCATACGTAAGACTTCGCCTGCAGCGGAAAGAGTCAGAGTTCGAGGCACGGCTGGCGGCCCCTCGTCGTCTCCTGCGGCTTGCTGATCCTCGGTCGCGAGGTGGAGGAAGCCGGAGAGGCTGAGGCTCTGAGTTTCAGCGAAGTCCTTTTCCTGGAGGCTTGATCCGCCTGAATCGGAGGGCCAATCTCAGAGCCACCAGGACTCGATAGCCAAAGTTCTCGGGGTACACACGGGCAAGGCCGACAGTCTGCACTGGGAGCACTAAGAGGGCACTCGGCATCGCAACCGGAGGACCGCCGGGCTGTTTGGGGGAAGCTTCGCGGTTTACAGCGAGGGAGATGCTGTTCACACCGGTTTCGCACGGGGTTGGATGTGGACTTGTGCGCAGAGAATGGGCCAATGGAATCAGAGACCTGAGACTCCGACCCTGGGAACCTGCTATCGGATTTGCCATGATTTGCCCACAGTTCAACACCATTACAGGGCCTTATGCCAATAGGCTAGGGTCGGGAGGTACGGGTTGCAGACTTACAGCCCGACAGCGGACAAGCCTCCACGGTCCATGATATCGTCCACGAAGATCCGCAGCTCCCAGGCAAGGGAGTACTGGTGGACTCCTGGACCACTTTTAAAAGGGACAATTGCGAGTTGTCTGAGGCAGTTAGGATGCAGTCTTGCTGTGACGACGACTTGTGTGCTTCTTTCCGAAAAGATGGGAACCAAGAATGTCCCTGCAGTGGTCCCTTGATTTCGCTTAGGTAGGGTAGGATGCATGCCTAATTCGCAACCGGCGGTGAGTGTTTAGTTCAGGAGCGGAGACAGGATGTCATCTTATAATTCTTAGATTCCCCAGGGAGAGGATCCCCACTACCGGGATCCCCTTTATAAGGATCCGTAAACTAGTTTTCAGCCCCCGACTTGCTCTTAATTGCTGTCTCCGTCTCCGAAAGAAACATCGACTTGCAGTCTTCGGCATCTTTCCGAGCATTCCCCGCAATTCTGCGTTTCTCACTGGCATGGTCTTTCGGTTTTGGTTGCCACCTGTGAAGCGCTGGTAGAATCTCCTTGAGCTCCGTGCTGCGGTGGGCGTACGGGAAGATGTCGTTGTGGGTGTGCACCAAGACGGTGGGGCGTCGCACAGCAGAGGAAGCCAAAACAGGGCCCGCATCCTCAGCCCTGCTTAGCATCATACCTTTGCCATCCACATTCATAGCCTTCCTGGGGTCGGGCTCGCTAAGACCGCTAAGACCAGTAGAAATGGTAGCCTGTGACAACATGAGTCTTAGCACCAGGCAGAGCCCGATAGAAGCGAGCCCGCGGGTGTGTGTGTGTGTGTGTGTGTGTGCATATATATATATATATATGTATATATATATATATGTACGTAGAGATAGATAGATAGATAGATAGATAGACAGGTGTTTATGTAGTATGTATATTATATGGAGATATACTATACACACATAGCCTGACGGTATAACGGATGTGTAATTGCTTGCGTATGTACGTACGCGCATGCATATATATATATATATATACACATACATACATACATACATACATACATACATACATACATACATACATACACACACACACGGACACGCATGCAGATATAAACATGTGAAGCGCCATCCTTGTCGCATAGTGCTCAAGGAATCCTACGATTGTTTCAGGCTCAACATCCCTAAACCTCAGAAACCCGAAATCCTCAACTAAAATGCCATGAACCTACCTACCTCAGCATGCGAGTCCGAGTGTGAGAGCATCATCCCGCAAAGCCGTAAATCCTGGCAGGACCCCGATGGCCGCACCGGCTGAAGAGCTTTGTGGCGCCAGGGCGGTGACGAATGTGCAGACGGAGCTGCGCAGTTTCCAGGCAGCTTTTCGATTGTGTGTGTGCGTGTGGGTAAACGCCTGGACATGGCGACTGTATGGCATAGCAATTTCCGCAGCTCTCGCGTCAGTGCAGAGGAGAGAGTGTTGCAATTGGACAGAGGGAGTGCGGAGGGGCTCTGTCCAACGAAGCTCCCCTCTGCACTCCTGGAAAACGCACCTGCAGGCCTCCGCCCTGGGTCCCTGCGAGGGCAGGTGGCGTATGGACTTTTCTCTTTAATTTCATTTGGTGTGCCATTCCTTGAGTCTGGCACACCGGGGCAGAACCCTACCCCAACGAATCATCACTTTTTATGCCATTCCTGGCGTCTGGCATGATAACGCACCAAAATCAATCGTCATCTCATGTCCTACTCTTGTGTTTTGCCATCGTCTTGTCGTGTCAGTCGCTCGTCGCAGTCACGTGTGTGTTGTTCTGGAACTCGCGACGTCAGATCAGAGTGGGCGAAAGCTCAAGACCGCGATAGCGGATGATAACGCCAACGCTGCCAATCTGAAAGCATTCATCCATCGGGATCATTGCAGTAGGATGACATGCGCCCACAGTGGGCTTCATAGTGATCATCAATGCTTACAATGCAGCGAGCTGTGCTGAACGTGCCAGGGTTGGGATGAGGGCCCAGGCAACGCAACACATGCAGGTTTCGGGCAGTGAGGTCAAGGTGTTTAGTTTAGGCAGTTTAAAGTGCTGTTGCACTTTCGATGTTTTCTGACGGGTGCCATGTGCCTTGCAAGTACCCCGCGGCTTTATTGCTTTCTGTCTGTTGCGCGCAGCCACGGCATGACCAAATTCACATTCGAATAGCAATCGGAGCCCATGCGACTGCTTAAATGAGGACATGCATGACCGTGATGCAGATATATTGCTCGCCGTTTCCTTTGTGTCTGCGTACCTTTAGATTCTTGTTTTGACCATAGGCTTTTGTCCGAGGAGGTAGATTAGATGTTTTCGCATGCCGACGGCGCCTGAGTGATACATGTGCTGTGCACGTCTTTAGCATCTTCGCGGGCACCTTCCACAGTACCCCTTCATTCCGGAGAGCACACATCCGCTGCAACGCCGATGTCCATGAACGTAGGCAAAGGTCCAGTCCCTGTCGAATGAAGCGTGGATGTGCTGCCAGGAATGTATTGAAGCCACCACCGGGGCTTATTGCAGCAACAGATGTTCGAACGCCTACGACAGGAGCTTTTGGGTCGCGAGAAGGCCGGCCCGCCAAGCCGCATGAATACTCGAGCGAAACCCTCTTCCGGAGCAACAGCTCACCTGGCGATTTGCTAAGAGTGACTGTGTTTATCAATGCTCTTCCTGGTCAGCTTCGGCAACTTTATGAGCAGCCTTGGCTTTCCCTCGAGGCTGCCGCAGAGGAACAATGAGAGGTAGGATACGAGGACGCAGCCAGCCACGAATAAGGCTCTCTTGTTTCGCCCTTCTTATTCATCTGCTGGAAGACTGCGACAAGAGTCAACTGTTGGCGGCTTGCCGCAGGTTCCTTTTGTTTGCACACGGTTCATCAACTTCAACAAGATAACAAGGGAACCCACGATGAATGTGATGGATGCTGATAGCGGCAGCAGCCGCACGAATAGCAGCTTCATTGATATGAGTCCGGCTAGCCCTCAAAATTAACCGGGCAACCCGCCGAGGTCAACCTTTATCTGCCAGTTTGCGATTTGGGATTGAATCGCGAATTTCAAAGAGAGGGATGGTGTGGTTGTTGGTTTTATAAGGGTCCGAAAATTTACTCAAAGGGTTTGTTGAGGGTCGTAGCTGGAGTGCAAGACTTGCTTTTTCGAAGCATTCCAATTGAGAAGTCTAGGGTTCATGAATCGGGGCCAAAGCAATCTGAGGCTTCAAGGAAGCAGCCCTTGCTTACCTCATCCTAGCGCACGACAAGTTTGTAACTTGGCATTGCCTGTTTCGTTTGAGTCTTGCGGCCGGTCGGTTTGCGGACTCGGAAACCACCGCCCGAAGGTGCGCCTTTGCGTTAACCAGTGATTTGCTATACAGTCGGGGGGCCCGTGCAGTTTCAGCCCTACGTATCCCTTTTGTCGCCAGGCATTGGAAACATCACATGATTCGCTAAACACCTATCTTTATGATGGCAGCTTCACGGAAGTTCTTTCAGAGAAAATCTAGAAATCCTCAGCGAGGTCCAGGTTCGCCGCCTCGTTGCACGGCTGCTGCCTCCATCAGACGGACTGGCACTGGTGCACTTGGACCAGAAGGTGCCTTTTCATCGCCTTTCGGGTCCGTGGAGGGTCTCTAAGTCAGGATCCCTCATAGACGATGCTTACAGCGACCCTACAGTAACTTGCTGAAACCCGTCGACATGTCACCCGCTTGCAAAGCTTCTTTGAAGCAGAGTTGTTTCATCTTAGCTGTTTCCAATTTCGGAACGGTCCTTCTGAGTCTTTCATTGGATCCTTGAGCTCAGCGGCCACGGAAAGATGGCGACATGCCTGCAAAAGATGACAAAGGAATCGAATCACACCACGTGCGCAAAAGAAATAGAGCATCTTTGTAGCTCGTGTGGTGCAGGGGCAGGCCTTTCTTCACTGGCCAACCTCAGATCATTCTGGCGCGCTTGCGCGTTAATGTCTTTGGGAGGGCAGTCGACAGGCAGGTCAAGCAGAGCCCATATTCCTGACCACGAAGTGTCCCCAACTGCTGCTCTCAAAACAGAGGTGAGGACTGAAAGCCCCAGGACCCGTCATTTTCCGAATGTTTGTTGTGAGCTGAAGTGGCTTAGTGCTTGCGCGTCTGCACGGCAGAGCTTCCGAAAATCCAGAGGCCCCGAACCCGTCTCTCAGGCGATCCGGAAGCCCAGTTTTTTTTTTTCAGGTGGCGACGGAGAGCCAACTCGAGGACTTCCGGAGGCCCCGGAGTGTGGCCTCTGGGGCCTATGAGGGGTTTAGGCGCCGTGGGGCGTGGGCCTGGGGTCTTCACGGGGCACTTCGTACCACGTAAGAGAGCTGCAGGCACCTTTTTGTTCATAACATGGGTGACCGCAAGGGGGCCTGATGCTACTGGGCTGGAATGGTCGCGCACACACGCTCTCCCGAGAGGTGGGCTGCCACGTCCTTCGACAATGGACGCGAGCCTTGGTTTGCTGTATATGGTCGTTGGGGCTTCGATCTGTGCGCAGTCTCACATATAAAGCCTGGAAAGAGATGCTGAGAGAACTAAGCAGACTAAGCAGTGAGAGCCTTGCGGCAGTCGCAGATCTGTGAGTCTGTTGGTGTCGATGGGCGTCGTCTACTTCATTGGGGCTTTTGGGGTTGCAGTGGTGGCCTGCGCACCCGTATTCGGCGTGCATTTTTAAAGCAAAGCTACTATTCGAGCGCCATCCGCAGAACATTCGGTACCTGATGGGTCCGCACTCTGATCCGGGGATCGGTTCGCGAAGCCTGAAATCAGTCGCACAAACGGCCAGCAGAAAGACCGGAAGCACCACCAACTACGAAATGAGGCACCCCGTCCTTTGAGCATCACCCCTTGTTCCTTCCTGTGCAAAGGAGCGTGTGCGGATCTTTAGCGAGTTCTCCGTGCACCGCGGCGGGCGGCCTTGCATGAAAGTGGGGCCCGAAGCGATGAGCGAAGCGGTAACAGTTCAGGTTTGGGTGTTCAGGGTCTCGAGCATCTAGCGCGAGAGAGAGAGAGAGAGAGCTTGAGCTTTGCAGGCAGCCGTAAATGGGCTTTCTGAGGGTGTTCCGGTCACAGAGATTTCGCAAGGCGATCGATGCTGGACGTGCAGCTGCGTGCCATCGCGCTCCTCCTGGCCAGTCCCGTCGCCTGGGAGTACTACATCAACCTCAGCGACCTGGCAGCAGGCGGAGACCAGGCTCAGGTGGCGCTTGGCTTCGAGTGTGGGGGGGGCGGGGGGGCGATCCTAGAGCTCCCCGGGCACAGCTGAGGTGATACGCATTACCCAGCCGATGCCGCTAGCTGGTTCGCCTCCTATCTGTGGCTTCACCAGGGCACGAATTATGCAGCCTGGAGCAATTGTCATGATTCGCCCGGATAACAAGTCCAATCAGCAGAAGACGTGCGAAGCAGCGCAGAAATCTGCAGCATGCTCTCCCGCACGGTATCTACACCATCACCTAGGCACTTCACGCTTGCAGTTGAAGCCGGATAAGCCCCATAATCCTTGCCTTGCCGGCCCGTCATGTCTCAAGACCATCGTCACTTCTAGAGTTCGGGGAGCTTCGATCTCCAGCTTCACAGTCCTGTGGACGGCGGATCCAGTTTCGGGGGGGTCCTCGAGGACTAGCATCTTGCCCGGGGGCCGCTGGCACATACCGAGCTGATCTGTAATCTTCCCAAGCCCTTTTCTCCGGCCCCAGATCAAAAAAAAGAAAAGGCCAGAGCATGGTTCACTAGGTTCACTAGAGCCTCGAACCAGACCATCTTTCCAGCTCTGCGCAGCCCTCAACCAGATTCTGACTGAAGCATCGCACAGTTCAGTACGCTTAAGGCTTAAGCTACCCCCCATCATGATGAAAGCCTTGCCGTTACAGTATCCTAGTGCGAGCTTCAGAAAAGGAGGAATACCAGCCCTGACTCTGATCACTTTGCTTTGTTCTGGTCTAGCCCAGCATCGTGCCAGGATCCTTCAAGCATTGAATTTTTTTTTAAAGAAAGCATCAACCCCTCTAAGTAGACACAAAGTTGTACCTCAGCCGAGGCCAGGATCACCTCCACGAAGTACTACGACCCGACCCTGCAAGGCGGCCGCCATGCGACCTACTCGGGGCCACGGGCCGAGGAGCGCCCTTCCAGGGCGCTTTTGGAGTGGCCCTTTAGGGGGGCTTTTGGGTTGCAGTTTCGGTATTTTGAGAGAAGCCCGAGCATCAGCTGCCAGGAGCCGTTTTCGCGATGTTTTTCGTTCATAAATTTTGCTTATGGCTGCTTTTGTGGGCGGAGACCGAAGAAGTCATCTGCAGTAATGTCCATAGCATTCGTGTCCTTCGGAAGCCTTTACTGCTGAACCCTCAACCGGACTGAGCCCAACAAAAACCCCGAAATGCTAGACCCTAGTTACTCCCGAAGCCCTTGAACTAAAAGCTGGTGTGCTTCACAGGAGAATATATTGCTCCTTAGCCCCCCTCTCTTGAGCGAGTTCCCTGAGGTGCGACATAGTCAAAAAAGCTACACCCAAAATATGTATTTCCCACCGCCGAATCCCGAGTCTCAGGATGTCTACATCGCCTGTGATCGCTCCTTGGCCTTCGAATGCGACGGCCAACTCTTCTCCCTGACGCCAGGCGCCTCTGCCAGCCCCTTAATGGAGCTGAGGCTTTTAAAGCAAGCCATAGTGCCATAGCTGCGACTTTGGAAGATTATAGAGATAGGAAGAATTAAAGTAAGGGCCCGGAAGGAAGTTCGTTCATGCCTGTGGTTTGGGCCCTGAAACCAAGCTTTGGATTTGCCTACTGAGTGTTTCGGTGTGGGAGCCCAGACGAACCCCCCCAAGCACAGAACCGTCTGTTACAGACACGCTCACAGGAGCATGAAGGAACGGAGTCAGTCGTGAGATCGGACAGGGCAGGCTCTTTGCTCATGGTGTCTCTGCGCATCTTTGTTGATGGGCAGAAACACAAACTATCCTTGCTCCGAGCTGCTCGTGGTGCCTTTGTTCGCGTGTTTTGTGATGGGCAGCTAGCAGGGCTTCCTTGACAACGCACGCACCGTCTCCTCCATCATTTTGGCCTCCCTGCCCTGGCCAGCGAGTTGGGCGAGCCGGGCACCAAAAACAAGGGCCCAAGAGGGGTTGCTTTTCCTAAACCCAGCAAGCTTAGCTTAAGGTACACCCGGGACCCCTCGCCCCAGAGTCCCTCCGCGAAGTGGAGGCGAGAAGTTCCCGGCGCTCTTCGCTGGAGTCACCTCTGCTTCGGGGCCGGAGTGGGCCCCCATGGCTTAAGAGTATGTTTTTAGGCGTTTTCAAGACCTTCCCTCGGGGGGTTTTTCTAAAAGGGTGCGGGTGCACCGGGCGGCGGATATACATTCGTACTGAAAAGAAGCACGAAACCTGGATTGAACCACGATGTCTGCAAACAAGGGTTTGTGTAGCGCATCGGGGAAACGACTTCAAATGTACTATCATCATCAGCATCATCATCATGATGTTCATAATTACCGTCATCATCGTTACTATCATCATCCTTTTCGTCGCCGCCACCATCATTGTTTCTATCATCACGGTCATTATCACTATTACCATCATGCATCACCGTCATTGAAATTTTTAATTTGTTAGTGCTATCCTTCAGGGTTCGCCGGTGGGGCTGAAGGGTTGAAACGCTTCCTGAAGCAGTGTCCGTGTGGCCGACTCCACCTGCACTGGCTGGCAAGCTGGCATGTGGATGCATGTATGCATGTATGTATGTATGTATGCATGTATGCATGCATGCATGCATGCATGCATGCATGCACAGATACATGGATCGAGTTCCACAAAATATTTAGATGGATAGATAGAGATAGATAGCATGGTAGCTTCAAGTTAGCCTCGCGACAAGAAGCAAGCTTGTGACGAAGGTTATTCTCAGCCGCTCCTTCTTGGCATATGTGGATGAAGGCGAGGCGCTCCACAAATCTTCAGCCTCTTCCGAGACTCGTCGGTTTGGTGGATATTCAGAACCCTTTCCCCTCAGCCGTTCCAACTGAAGACGACTTTTTTGCAGCTTACCAACAAGAGCCCAACACTCGCCCAAAAAGCTCCGTGGCTTCTGGTCAGGCCTGAAAGAGGGCGCAAGTTTGGTCTCCAGGTGGGCCTGTCAGCGGCATCACACCACTACAGTTGACAGAAGGATCCCCAAGCAGAGTACGCCTACCCTACGAGAAAGCAAAGGGTTCGAAGTAAAGCCGAAAAGCCCGGGAACCAGGCTGTATGACGACCTCGTCTCTCTCAGCATTCCCGAGGAGAAGCCGGGCTCGGGCGGGCTAGCAGAAGCTTTCTGTCTACACGCTCCCACGCACCATTTCACATGACGCTTTATTTCACTACCGCCTGCTTTTGCGAAACAGCAGCGCGGGGAGGAGACCTTCTTTCAGACACTGCTTCTCACGTCGCCTTTCTGCAACACCCTGCTGCGGCACGAGTTCCTGCCTCCTGGTGTATTCAGGCGACAAATCATTTACCCTTACCCACGGGTCATGATCAATTGGCCTGCAGGGGCACCCTGCTTCCCTAGATTCAGCCAGCAGCCGGCCCATCTCTAGACCGTATCCGTGCTCAAGACCCTAAAGTCCCAGACCTCGAAACCCGCAAAACCCTAAATCCTTATTTATCAACAGTTCCTAACGACCCCGAAACGAAATATGAGGTATCTGGACTTGTACGATGCTCCCTGGCGCACGTCGCCTCAAAGCGACTTTCCCTTCCAGAGTCCGAGGTCGAGCAGGGCGATGGAAGGGAGGGATCTTGGATACGGATCGGGATTCGGAAGGTTCTACAGATCTGACCGGGTGCTATAACCGATTTTATTTCGGGTTCCACCAGAAAAACTGCTGGGGCAGAAAGGCTCTATGGCTCCAAAGGCACCATGATGATTTGCTTTAGAACTGTAACTTGCAGCCTCCGACGACTGTCAAGCTTGGCACGGTCCCTGAGCAAACAGATGCGTCGCCAAAAGGGTACCATGAGGGGGCCCAGAATCGAAAGGTTCTATTGGCCCGAGAAGGGATCTTGACAGGGGCTTCCAGAGAATGACGCGCAGCAAACGTTCTAACGGAGGCGACTCAACGTCACCCACCTGCCCGATATCGCCAAAGAGAAGCCATGGTTCGTGCGGAAGGTGGGCGGAGCTAAGAAGTTGTTGAATCTGGAAACTAACTACCCAAGGCTCTCTCGTGTTTCATTTCCAGCATGTCTCCTGCTGTCTAACCACCGGGACCTCAGTCCCGCCTTTCCCGTCGCCTTTGCCTTCTTTTATGGCACACCCAGCCCCGACTGCTCGAGAGATCGACGCTGCGCAGCCGGGCTCCGCCGCCTTGCGGGCGTCCCTGGAGGCCGGGGGATTCGGAGGCAAAGGGCCGAGGTCAACTCGGAGTTTGTTCTTCAGAAACCTCGGCCCTAGATCCTGAAGACCGGCAGATTCGGCTTGAAGTTGCGGAAGGGATTCAGAATTGAAGACGCCTTCAGGCTGCCATCACCCGCCGCAGCCGAGATGGAAGGCTTGTAGGGTGGGATTTAGCTGGACTTCGTCTCAAAACCGGAACCCCAAATAGCCCTACATCCGCCTCAAACCCAGTCCATGTTATGCTGTCCTTTACCAGGTGGCTCGCAGCCCGAATCCCTCGGCCGCTGTCGCGCGCCCTCGGTACGGAACTGCAGGCCCGGCGAGCAAAACAAGAAGGGGCCGGCCCCTGGATGCTTGGAGCAATGTAGGGTTTGGTCAAAGAGGGGGTTTAGGGGTTCAGGGATTAGGGGTTTAGGGCAGGAATTCACGCGAGAAACGGCTTGTTCACACAGCTTCTGCCGGAGGCTCGTGAGCATGCATGGCTGCAATGTGTGAGAGTGGTTTATGAGCGACAGCTTGCTGATTCATTGGCCCTGGAGGGTGCCGAATTCCGGCATGCCGTCGCCGTTTCGGCGCATTTGGCGCCGAGATGCATGCGGGTCCGGCTCATGGGAACTCCACAAGGAGGCCTGCAGTCAGAAAGGTTCATGGGCATGACTGGGGCTTGGTGTTCTTGGGGCTTCTTCATGCAGACAGCATGAGTGAGGTAGAGTTGCTGCTTTGCCGGCACAGCTGTAGGGAGACGCCCCAACTCCCGTGGCACAAGCGTGGTGGTGTTTCATGACAGCCAAGGTTACAAAGACGATCGTGCATTGTAGGGGCCCTCGCATGAAGCTGACCAACATACTCAAACGCCAGTTTGAATGTTTCCTGAGCTGAGAGAAATCCCCATCGCTGTTTGCATATGATGTGATGTCTGTGACAGGGCTACGCAATCATGCCCGAATGAGAAGACGGCATGCACTTCACACATCCAGCCGTTCTCTAGCCCCGAAAACACAGAGGCCCCAGCGGCCCTTCACTGCGCCGCGCCCGGGCGGCCGGGTCCCTGCTTCTGACGGAGCGCGCCGCCGTGGCCCGGAGGGAAGCGCTTCCGAGGTCGGCCCGTCCCCCAGACCCCTCCCCCCCCAAAGAAAAAAGCAGAATGGGGTTAGGGCTTTTTGGGAAAAGGGGTCACCCCTTGTTGTTGAGGGTCCTCCATGTATCTGTGTATATACATACAGAATCATAAATTATAAGGTATGTATGATGTTTACATGTCAAAGATTGAGGGGTGGTGCCGTTGTTGAAGGCTACTGGCATTAGGGATGTTCAGGCTCTGACGATGTTCGCAGGGTCCTTTGTTCTCTGAAGCGGCCTTGAAGCTTTTGTTCACGCGGCTTGCTTAGCAACCGATTGCCTGTTCTTGCTGCGAGACTGTCAAGACCGGATGGTCGGGAACTAGCTTGCTTTCAAGTCGGGAGATCGAACTTTTTCATGTGGTGTAACATATTCATACCCGGAACAGAGTTACTTCCATGGACGCAGTCCAGAAGTGCCTCTGCTGCCCAGCCAGGGAGGTCTTGCCGCCTGTGGTCGCACTGCGAGTCGGCTGCGGCTGGGACGAGGCAAGAACCACAGATGAGAACCACACCCGGCTCCTTGCACCGGCTGATGCACTGGCAGGGGTGATCTAGTGAGTCTAGGTGAATCAATGGCCGAGCCGCGAGTGGTAAGACTCACGATGCTGGGACTGCGAATATCCACCAAACCGTCAAGAAATCGCTGGCAGCAGATAGGCATGCTTCGACTCGTTTATATTGGAACTTATACATGGACGAATGTGACATGCCTAGAACCTGAAGTGCTTGCGGTCGCCTCGAGCGCAAGAGTTGTTCCTTGAGCCACAACCTCAAGACTCAGGTCTCTAGATTCTTGAGCCCGCCGCCCGAGTCCCTGTTCTACAGCGTATAATACGATGGTAAAGCAGGATGCGTACCAGTTTCGCGGTGACGTCTCACTGATCGACGCCAGTGACTGCCCCAACGCCGCTGGCCCTTCAAGCTTCAAGCAGGGTGTAAGCTCCTGACAGGGTGTGCGTGCGCGCCGGGCACGAAGCTGTCAATGAGGAGATGGCCTGTTTGGCTTACAATAAGCATAGTTCAGCCTCACAGGATAGTGGGAGGTACACCGGTATGCATCAGCGCAAGCCTTTCCCTCTGACCCTCAATTACAGCCCTATAAGGCCTGGTTTGAAGCGATGCAAATCTCATCCGAATTCGGCTCTAAGGCGAGCCTCGTCTCCTACCTGAACAATGTGGGGTTTGAGGGCGAGGTGATGCAAGAATCCGCGCGGGGTTGGTGGGGTCGAGTCTTTTAAATTGAGGGGTGGGTGATCGTTGACTGGAGTTTTAACTGAGGTGGGGTTCTTCATGGCCAGCTTGCCTTAAGTGTTCGCAGTCTTGACGTTCCAAATCGCCTATCGCCGGTTCCAACTTCAAGGGGTCCTTCAGGTCGCAACCCAGGCGATCCCAGAGCCCAGCGGAAGGCTGCAAGAGTGCAGCGCCAGAAGTAAGTACTCTCGCAGTCGGACTCAGCCAATGAGGCCGAAGCACATGTTCCTAAACCCAAAGTGCCGGCATGGATCGAAAGAGCGTGCCTAAAGAGATGGCAGGTCGCCATTCATTGGTACCTGGACGGGCACTTGCAGCGCCAGTCCGGCGGGAAGATCCCGAAAGGTGCGCCCGCCGCTTTTTGCGTTTCGTCTCGGGGTGTTCGGTTGTTCCCTGGGATCTGGCTGCGCATGGAGAGAACTTCGGAATGGGCGAAGCAGGGGGCTTTGGCTGTTCGAAGCCTGTTGCAGGTTTCAGCATGTTCGTGGACAATCTGCGAGATCCAGTGCCCGGGCAGTGGTCTGTTCGTTTGACAGATGTGACTTCGGGACACAGGAGACCGTCGAAGCTCAGTCCTTGGTGTTACCTATATATAGAGTCTCTCTCTCTGCTTGAGAATGTAGAGACGGGTTCTTGGCGGCAGGATTGGAGAGCGTGGCTTCATCGTTTATGATGCCCGCGATGTGGGGGCCCTGGGGGCCCTGGGAGCTGGCATGCCGAAGACTCTGAGGCTTCTCAGCCAGCTCGAGGGTACAATGCTCACGATTCCTCCCTCTTAGCTCTGAAGCCTTGAAGCCCTGTTATTCACTCGCTGGAGCAACAGCAACAGGAGTAATCTTGTGGTACCAATGGCACCGCGATTGCGCTTGCCTCCGCAGTCTGTCATTGTGTTAGTTATCCCTTAGCATGCTCAATCCCACAACAATCGCCACATATCTTTGCCATCGTCCTGGTGGAATGATGGCAGCGAGGTCACTCATGGGGGTAGGAGATGCGGGAATGGGCGGGGGGTGGGGGGTGGCCCCAACAAAGGCTTGATTGCCGCAGAAAAAAGCATTGTTTAATCGCAGGCTTTATTTACCCTTTCAGAATTTCAAGTCGGTGCTTGCATCGAGGCGGAGACGTGGCCCTCGCTGGCATCTGGGTTGCGAGAAGGTTTCTGCAGCGGTTTCGTTCGTACAGTTGTCGGCATCTGGTGATGCAAGTGCTACTCCCACGGTCAGACGAGTATTTTCGCGAATTGCGGTGTAACACCGGGGTTGTTACGGTCGATTGATGGGGTAACCGAGCACGAGGCGTGGCAGGCGCACTCGGCTTTTTTGGCGGTGGTGCTGCGCGTGTGATGCAGGTTTTAGTGTGGAGTGCCGGTCCTGACCCCGATACTTGAGACTTGTTGGTGTTCAGTGCATTGAGCAGAGCCCATTTTGCATTGTGTCTCAGGAGGATTACATGACCTTCTTCGACTTTACACCCTCTCTCCGCGAAGTGCAAAAAAGAGCCAACGCCCTCTGCTTCGCTGCGGTTTAGGGTCACATCAGCTCCGTTTCAGTTTCCTACTTCTCCGTCCCCAGCGACATAGGAGTCACAGGTGAGAGTCTGCAGCGTTCCATGACACTCCGCCAAGGATTTTCAAGGTTTCGCGGTGGCCAGGCTGCCACGGTACCTTTCGAGCTTGGGTTTTGTGTGACATCACATCATGTGACGGGGGTTGCAGGCGGGAGGGGGCGGGGCTTGGGGCAAGATGAGATCCAAGCGAGGCGTAAAGCCTTAAGTTGTGTCTCAGCGCCTGCGGCATACTTCGGCTTAGTGTGTGGAGTAGAGGAGAGCCAGCAAGGTGTGGTGAGGCGGAGACGAGTAAGTAGCTTGTGGCGTGCCGGGCGACGACAAGCCCTTGCCAGCCAGACAAATCCGTAGGAAAACCTGTCGGCACCGGCCACGGGACAAGTCACTCGCGATCGCACGGGATCACGTGGGCCTGCGTGGGCCTGCTGTCAACAAGAAGGCAAGCAACCGAAACCGATATTTAAGTGGTCACTAGGACTAGGATCTGTGAGAAATGCGGTCAGGTTTCCGAGAAAGAGCCCAAAACATGCACAACAGTACAACAGCAGGCCCCTTCGTCACAAAAGCACGCTTGCTAGCAGGCCCTGAGCTCCTAGACCTACAACTACCCAAAATGAGGGCCGGGCGCAACATGAGTCTCACCGAGTACCTTTACCGCTGCCGGCTCGCCGAGTTGTAAGAGCAGCAAAACAGACCGCCATGCAGATAGTGCACAAGCCACCTACTTCGTGTGGGATACAAGCGAAAGCCTGCCCACATTGTAACTTTCCCGTGACGATTGCAACTATTTCTGCTCAAGCTTTTTCGGCGACAAGCCACCTTGCATCCTTCTGCATCCGCTTGGCTGCTTGCGACTCCAGCACCGACCTGAGTTCTCTCAACATTCCTATCGTTGTTGAGATGCCGTTTAAGAGATGATCGGCAGGCCTGCAAGATGCCCTTTCTTATCTGGCTGGATACCCAGGAGGCGCTCTCCTAGCATCAACATGATAAACCGCAGAACCTTGCCGCACAGGTTTCGTACATGTCGGGCGAACAGTACGATTGGGCGATTGCAGACTGGCTGGATCCAGAGGCACGCTCTCCAGCATGCGCTATACCCAGACAACAAAGCCACATTCACCGGCAGGAGCACAGGTACGAGGTCGCCTGGCAGGCAGGAACGAGCACGTCCAGCAAACCCAAGCATCCTGACAACATAGTACGCAGGAGCCAAGCCTGCCGCACGCCTTCCGCTTCGTGGGCCCGACCCAAGCGGAGGCGGAGGCTGGACACACTCACGAATGCTTCCATACATGCCTTGCAACAGAGCGTCCCAGGCACGCTGGACAGATTGGAGAAGAAGAACCTCCGGAGGCTGCTTTTCAGCACTCCAATCTTCACCCGATTCCATCTTTAGCACACGGTGCTGGTAGCGTTTAGTGCAGCGTAGTGGAAGCAACCTTCTGCCCAGGTACTGACTGAGCTGGAGCGCCGGTTTAGTGTCATGCCCTTGCCGACGACTCGCAATCCTATTGCTGTCATGATAATGCATTTCTACATGTTAACGGTGCAGCGACGCTTCTTGTTGGCATGGTGGCATGATGTCCACTCGCGGGATGAGACTTCCGACTCGGATGCGGAGTAGTGGGCGTCGAAAAATCTGCAGCGCAACATCAACGGTTGTCGTGCTTCTCACGCTGATGCTTCCTCTACCCCGCCACACACAGCCGCTTCCGCTCGGATCTGTGCACCCCCGCTCCTTCTATTGCAGCATGTTGCGCTGACCGTCGCCGCATTCTTGTTTGTCTGCATGTTCAAGCTCGCTTACGGGAGGCCAGCACTTGGCAGTGCGAGCACACATGCAAGCGATGCAAGCAATGCAAGAGGTCGGGGTCATCAGTCCATCCCATCGGGGCTTGATTTGCACATTCCAACCACTAAGTTTGATCCTTAAGTATGTGTTGAACGTTGAACGTTGACAAGCAAGCAGCTCACAGCAGCGCTTATCCATGCAGCTCCGACATGCAACCACCAGTGGTCGCAGTCTCAGACTGGCGTTGGCCACTTTGCGGGCAAGTTTGTACAGCAGGATTGTTGCATCCACAAGTTTCCATATGTTCCAGCTTTGTGTTCTATCTTATGCCCTAAACGAGCACTGTCACATCAGAAAATTGAAAGGGGTCTGACAGCAGACGTTCGAGGATTTGTTTGTCGCCAAACTTATGGAACATGGCATTCATGCATCCCCTGCTCTCGTAGAGATTCGTATCGGCTTATTATCTATTCCAAGTCCAAGAAGGCCAGGGTTCTCAAGAAAAGTGGCCCGGTGGCTTCAGGTTCCTCGATTTTCTGGCAAAAATCCTCGCGCAGGGCAGAAGCAGGGGGGTAGTAGTGTTTAGCTGATACTTCACCTTCAAGCTCCTGTGGGGCAGGCAGCAGCGCCACGTGAACGTGTGGCATGTAGGGGCTACGTCGGAAGAGGCCTTTGAGCTCGCGCTTCCACTCAGATTTGGAGCTCGAGCAGGGGAGGGCTCTCCAAGACTTTCAGGATCAGCAGGGCGCATTTCTAGTCAAGCTTGCACGCTGAAGCAGCTAGCCGATGTATTGCAGCACGTTGTTCATGATTCGGCTTCCCAAAGTTCGACGAGAAGTGGTTGAGGGCCTCTGTTTCGCACGGGTTCGAGTGTTTCATGAGACGAAGGCGGAGCAGAGCAATGAAGTTGAAAGAGGTGGTTCGTCATCGGCCGGAAGCTCGCTGCTGAACAGTTGGGTGTTGCGGCAAGTTGCCCATAGCTGTCTATGGCAAGATTTGAGAGCAACCTTGAATCAAGCCTTCATAGAACCATATAGATTCCTCTGGCACCCTGCGTGAAGATCAGGTTCTTGTTTACAGCTAGTTCAGCCAACCCATCTCTAAACCGTATCCGTGCTCAAAACCCTAGGAATTGTGTGGAGCCTTGCCTGCCCAGTCCGAGAGTGAAAGTCGAAAGTCCCACACCTCGAAACCCCGCGAAACCCCTATATCCTGAAAGGCTAAAGTTATCAACAGTTCCGAAACCCCCGAAACGAAAGCCGAGGTATCTGGACTTGTACGATGCTCCCTGGCGCAATTCGCCTCAAAGCGACTTTCCCGTCCAGAGTCCGAGGCCGAGCTGGGCGATGGAAGAGAGGGATCTTGGATACGGATCGGGAGTCGAAAGGTTCTACGGATCTGAGCGGGTGCTACAAGCGATTTTATTTGGGGTTCCATAAGGAAACTGCTGGGGCTGAAGAGCTCTATGGCTCCAAGCTTGCACGCTAAAGCAGCTAGCCGATGTATTGCAGCACGTTGTTCTTAACTCGGCTTTCCAAAGTTCGACGAGAAGTGGCCGCGGGCCTTTGTCGTCTCGCACGGGCTTATAGCAAAACAATGAAGTTGAAAGAGGTTCACAAACGCAATATTGAGCGTGAAGTGAACCGTGAACATGCAGGTAGAACAGCTCAGACCGTGATATTCGGTTGCGCACGCAAGATCGATGCGAGTTTGACAGGGTGCTTTCGTCATCGGCCGGAAACAAAGGCAGGCGCTGAACAGTTGGGTGTTGCCGGCGAGTTGCTCATTGCTATCTGAGGAACCAATAATCAAGCCTTCATACAGAACCCTGTAGCGCCCTGCGTGAAGATCGGATTCTTGTTTACAACTGCCTGTCTCGGTTGTTGTTGCTGGACCGCCCTTTCGGCTGAATATCTCCGCTACAGCACGCGGAAGATGCAACAGAACGGCAAAGCAAGGACACCCACCTTGATGTTGCCCAGTGGAACTACTTGAGTTGCAAAGCGACATGAAGACAAGTGTTTCATTGGCCAGGCAAGTCTAGACACACCTTCAAATCCCAAAACCCAAGCCTCAGCTTCGGGAGCTCTTTGATAGGGCAAGAGCAGCGATGCATGCCATAGCGCTGCAGGCGTCACCCAGCTTTTCATTTTTGCTTCGAAGCGACGGCTCTGAGACCTTAAATACTTTACTTACTGAAGAGCTATCTGCTATCTGCTCTTGGGACAGGCCGAATTGGCGGCTTCACGCTCAAGGAGGCGGAGTCTTCAGGGTTCTGGCGAACTTCTGCTGCGTAGTGCGGCTCGCACCTGGGGGAACTTATCAGGAACACAGATCCTCCACATGTGCTCCTGTGGCCCACGCTTGAGTGAGGTGGTTCGCCGCATGCCGTGCGATGACTCCTCGGTTGCTGAGGTCGCATATATGGGCTTAGCTGGATCTCGGTGATTTCAGTTCTTCCAAGCTTTGTCAATGGAAATGCGGGAAACCACAGCTTGAAGCTTCTGTGACAGTTTTTGCGTCAGGAGTCTCGAGATGCGAATGCCGTGAAGGACTGCCAATGCCTTGAATATTTCGCTCCTTTCACCCACCTCCGATTTGTAGCATCTTGCAGGAGCTGTTGCCGCAGCTGGAGGTCTTGCAGTCAGAGTCCTGCCAGGGTGCAGCTGCAGCGGAGCAAGAGGCGACGGAACCGAAGGCTAGACCGCATGCGAATCCCAGCATGTGCCTGCTAGTATGTTAGACTGCATGGGTTCGGCTGCTGCTGGTTTGTGCCGGGCTTCATAACTGGCAGCTTGTGCTGGGCTTCTTCCTCTGTGACCCGCTTTCGTAGAGCACGCCCGACAGGCGGAGACCGAGTGCCCACAGGAGAACACCCAGGCCGAGGGTTTCTGCGCCAGAGCCTTGAAGGCTTTCGGCAGGCTTTCGCAGGGCTTGAGCGCCTTGAGCTGCTTTTAGCTTGGCTTCGTGCCCCCCTTCATTGTCAAAGAGTCGGGCGCCTGGTGCCGGAGGACCTTTCGCCTGGTGAAGCAAAAAGCAGAGACGAGGAAAACGAGAAGGCAGGGCAATGCGACTTTGCGCCCGTTTGGCGTGGCTGCCCAATGTGGTTTTCAGCTGAGGGTGAGGAAGCTGCACATATGTCTCACATGTTTTGCAAGTCGAAGTTACAGTCACATAATGTGTGGCAGATTGCATCATCAGTCCTCCGATCAAATCCTTGAGACCTTGAGAAGAGGGAAGCCAATGAACACAAGAGTTAAAAACAACTAAATCCGGAGTTAATTGTCCGTGAGGGCCAGGGTCCGAACCACAGGACCCGCAAAACCATTAACTTTAGAGTTAATTCTTGCAGGTGTATGCTTGGTTTTTGCAAAGCAATTAGATCTACTTTTAATGGTTTGTCTGCTTCAAATCTTAGAAAACAAGTAACTCCAGATTTAGTTGTTTTTTCGGTGCTCTGGAAAGTAACAAGCTATTGGTACTTCGTTCCGATTCCACACCTCCGGTCGTCAAAATGAATTAACTCCAGATTTAATTGTTTGTCGGTGCTCCGGGAAAGATTAAGCCATCGGTACCTCGCTTCGCGGACTTCGTTTCGGTACCAAATCTCGGGTCTTCAAAACAATTAACGCTATCAGTGCTTCGTTTCGGTTCCACACCTCCGGTCGTCAAGAAGAATTAGCTCCAGATCTAATTGTTTGTCGGTGCTCCGGAAAAGATTAAGCCATCGGTACCTCGCTTCGCGAACTTCGTTTCGGTACCAAATCTCGGGTCTTCAAAACAATCAACCCCTGATCTAGTTTTTTCGTACCCAACCCATGCCCCCGCACCCCCCTGCACCCAACCCACGTCCCGCAGGCCAAACAAAAAAATACAAAACCCCTCCGCATGGAACCCCAAGACTCCCAAGCCTTGCGAAACAATTACATCCAGAGTTAATTCCCCATGAAGGACCCCAAGTAAACACCTACATCCAGAGTTAGTTCCCTTTGAGAGACCCCAGCCCGCAGACAACAATTAAATCCAGAGTTAATTCCCCGGACAGGGGTGAGGAACAAGACCGACAATGAATCAATTACATCCCGAGTTTATTGTCTGTATAGAGCGTTGACGATCCCCAGAAGCCAGAACAATGAACACAAAGACAAAGGTTATTTTTTAAACTTCTGTTTCCATTGTTTTTCTTGAGAAGAGCTTGATGCCCATCGCTGGTTGGACATTGCGGGCCAGAATTCGAATCACGCCCTTCTGCCTAGGAGGAGCCTGCGGAAGCCGCAGCTGAAGAGGTGCACGCCAAAAGCTCCCGCCGAAGGTTTAGGTCCCTGAACCTAAACCCTGAACCCTTTTAAGGGTTTATAGGTTTTTAGGGTTGAGCTGTTGGGGCAGCTCAATTTTGTCCTGGAAAGGAGCCCGCACCGGCGGATGCCGTCACCGGATCGACCGAGCCGGATGGCCCTGCAGACGCTGAGCCTCAGAAGGCAGAAAATCGAATTTCCCCCTTTTTTTGCTGCTGTAAAAAAAAGCAGCGGCTCTTGCAGCTCTGCTCGCACCGCTGTGGCTTTGCGGCTTCGCAATCTGTCAGGCCGCCGAGGAGGAGCACGAGGCCATGGTCATCAAACCTTGTTGAAAACCTCTCCGCCATTACGTGTTTGACAGGCCTCCAAGCCAAAAAACGAAGAGATCGTGCCTTGCCTTTGGTAAGGTCCTACTGTGTGGTCTTAATAGGATTGGTGAAAGCAGACAACAGCTTTGCTGTGCTTGCGCTTCTGGTGTGCCGGAAGTCTGGGCGGTCCCTCATGCAGACAGCCGAATGTGCCCAGGATGAGACGCCAAAGGCCGTAGAAGCTCCTTCCTTGCCCGCAGACGACGGCGAGAAAGAGGCTGGAGCTCTAGCCCTCACGATTGGCAGGTCGGAGCCGTGTGATGCCATTGTAAGGCGCACAGCGAGGAAGTAGCGCAGAAGCACGAAAGAGAGAAGGACCCACCTGAAGATGTGGCTTTGGCAAGACCTGGCCTGCGTGCTCAGATACTGCTCACATCGCCTGTTGCTCTCTTGAGGTGGCTCCCGATGCAACTCCCACTGCAGCTCCTGTTTCGGGCGAGGAGGCAAACGCACCTCGGTTTCCGAGGATACATGTAGCAACTTCAGCGAGCTGTCGGCCCGTTTTCCGTGGGAGGCCGCGCCCCAAAGCCCGGCCCCGGAAAGCCCGGCCTCGGCGGCCTCGGCGGCCTCGCCGATGGCCTTGGCCAGCCCGGGCAAGGAGGGCCAGGCCGAGGCATCGACGGCCGAGGCGCGCGTCGTGTCATGTCTAGACCTGCCTAGAGAGTCTAGCTTTTGGCGTTTCGTCGGCTTTGGGCGCTTTCGAGGCTTCGGTCTACAGCCCCGAGGATGGCCCTGTCGACCAAGACAAGGCGAGCGTTGGCCAGCGCTCGTGCTTAGAGAGTCTGTGGAGCTGCGGTAGCCTGGGCCACGTTGCATAGACGGTTTTTCCTTGATCACGCCAGGCGAAGGAAGAACAGCTGCGAAAGCTTGTGGCCTGTCTTTACTGTCTGTCGAAGTCTGGTTTGGGGTGCAGCTTGCTACGTGATTGGATCGGAGATCTACCGACGCAGCCTAATCCGAGGCTGAACTGGAAGCTGCGTTAGCTCCTTTTGCGACCATCGAACCCAAAGCCTCTGACATCCCCCAGGAGCCGGGTCTTTCGACTTTGAAATGATGTGCAGATGCGATGGGTTTTTTGTCGGGTGTAGATGCCGCCTTGCCGAGGGCCGAGGGCTGTGCTCGTCCAGTCTTGATTCTGCGGAGGAGACCAAAGGGAACACCGGCGAAGCCAACCTGACAAGCCAGACGCAAGATGCAAAGGAGGAAGTGACAGCTGACCCAAAGGCATCGGGCGAAGAGGCCGTGGGCTCCCTGCAGAGCCGATTTCTGACTGAGTCTTAGCTTGGCAAAGCTCCACCTGAAGGCGGACACACGCAAGGACCAAAGCAGTCACTCGGCTTGCACGTCGCGGATCCTGAGCTGGGCATTGCCAGTGCATTTGGGAGTGTCAGGGGATTATATTTGGGGAGGATGCGACGCCAGTCTAGTAAGTAGGCAGTCTTCCCAAGAGCCTAGGCTTGTTTGCCAACGTTGCCCTCGACGAGAAGGGCACGGAAGCAAGAAAGAAGGCGGCGAAATCAGCTCGAGAAAGAGAGGAGAAGGCCCCCCGGTCCTTGATGCAAGGGATTTCCCGTTTTAGGGATCGTCGGCCATGACTGCGCCTGAGCGGCTATGATTCTATGCAGTGCAGGAGAAGGCGGAGAAGGGAAAGCTGGAGAAGGAGAAGAAGTTGAGAGGCTGGTCCCAGGGCCGCAGCCGGAGCCGGAGAGCTCGCAGACGCTCGCCCAGCCCCAAGAAGGGCAGGGACCGGTCCCACGAACGGAAGCGATCGCCGAAGCGCTCGCCTCCGAAGCGGTCCAAGCAGTCGCCCAGGAGGTCTCCCAAGCGGTCTCCCAAGCGGTCGCCGCCCCGGAGATCGCCCAAGCGGTCGCCGGCAAAGCGGTCGCCCGCAAAGCGATCCGTGAAGCGACAGAAGCGCTCCCGATCGCGCAGCCGCCGCAGCCGGCGGGGTCGGTCGGCGGGCCGCCTGCCCTCGGCGAAGCGCCGGCGCGCCGCGGCCAAGGCCTCGTCTTCAAGCCGAGATGCCCGGCGGCGATCGCCGGCCCAAAAGCGCAAGGAGAAGCCTAGCGCAGCCCACGGCAGTGCCGTGAGTAAGGTGAAAAGGCCCAAAAGCTCCAGCTCGGACACGAAACTCAGCCGCCGGAAGGCGCCGAAAGCGCGCGCCAAGTGCTCCAGCTCATCGCCTGCTAAGGCTCCCGCCAAGACAGCAAAAACTTCAGCGAAGACTCCGCCAAAGGCCCCTCCCAAGACTCCCAAGCCGGCGGCGCAGGCGCAGGATGAAAGTGGAACATCACCGAAGAAGCAGACAGCCAAAGCAGATCAAAAGAAGCCCGTGAAGAAGAAGCCTCCGCCTTCCTCTTCGAGCTCGCCATCGGCACGGCCCAAACCGAAGGCCACCAATGCCATTCCGGTGAAGAAGACGATAGCAAAGAAAGCGGTGACCAAGAAGTCTGAGTCCTCATCGGCCTCCTCCACATCACCAGCAGGACCGCCGCCAACGAAGGCGACCAAGCCAGCGAAGCCAGCGAAGACTGAGGCCAGTGCCAAAGCCAAGCAAGACAAAGACAAGCCTAAAGTCAAATCCAACGCCGCGCGACCAGCCCCAAAAGCCAAATCAGCTGCAAGTACAAAGCCACCCAAGCCCAAAGGCGCGGAGCCAAAGTCTACCCCATCCACTCCTCAGGCGAAGCCCTCAGCAGCAAAATCATCCGCTCCGGCCCCTCCCCCTGTCAAAGCTGGCACGCCGAAGTCCAGTGCCAAGGACAAGGCCGAGAATGAGAAGCCGAAGCCCGTCCAAAACGAGGGACTCGGAGAGAGGCCAGAGAAGGTGAAGCGGAAGAAGAAGAAGGCGCCAAAGACAACAACAGGCACAGCCGCCCCCAAGGCTCCAGAGCCCAAGGGCGCGGCGAGAGCGGCCAAAGCCAAGGCCATCTCCTCCCCTCAACTCGTCTCCGTGACCTCGACCCGTAAGCCGGCAGACAAGGACCCCAGCAGCGACAGTGATGTGGAGATCGTGGCCGCGGACATCAACTGGTCCTCGCGGTCCGGGCGGGGGCCCAACGGCCCGAATCCGAAGAGGCGGGCACCGGAGGAGGTCTTGGCCGCGGCGCTCATGGACGTGTTGGTTCCGAAGCCGACGGGTCCAGATGCCGCGGATCTGTCCCCAGCCGAAGCCGCTCTTCTCAGAAGGCAGCAGATGCGGAGGCGTCTAAACGAGACGTCCGATTGGGCCCAGCCCGTCGATGTCACGGCCCCAGCGCCACCTGAGGTCGACGAGGAGTTGCCGAAGGCCAAGAGTGAGAAGGGCAGAGATGTGCTTGAGCAGAAGCTGAAGATGACGCAGAAGCAGCTCCTGCAGCTTCAGCTTGGGATCAAGCAGCAGCAGCTGGAAAAGCTTAAGGCTCGCATGCGCGGCAAGCGATCCAGAAACACATTTTTCCCGGCGCGGCCACGACGTCTGCCGGCTCAGATCCAGGCTCAGCCAGCGACTTCCATACCGAGCCCAGAGCCCTCCACCAAGCCGCCACCACTTCTCCCAGATGCATCGGCGTCAGCCGCATCGCCCCCCAGTCCCAAAGACCGCTCTGAGAAGCGTCCCCCGAGGGCCCCATCACCCCCTGTTCAACCCATCCAGGCTCCCCAGGCTCCCGAAGCCCCAATGCGCGCAGAGCGCAGCGAGCGCAGCCAGGTGATCCCAAAGCCCGCAGAGGTCACGGCCGTCGCGGCTCCTGCAAAGCCCATGGCGACCGCAGCCCCCGCGGCCCCCGCCGCGGCCACCGCTGTGCCCCCCGCGGTGCCTCCTGCGCTCCGACCCGCAGCGTTGAAGAAGAGCCTCGCCGATGCCTACTTCGAGAAGAAAGCTCAGGCCGCCCTTTGCCACCCTTCCTTGACGTCTCGCTGCTTTGAGGCGTCTCACATGCCCTCGCCTTGTATTTCTGTTGCCAGGTCGAGAGGCAGAAAGCTTTGCTTCAGGAGGCCCTGGCCAAGCGTAAAGAGTTGGCGGGCAAGGCTGGCCCGGTTCACTGACGGCTTGGATACAGAGGAACTCATGCAACAGCGCCGGCTCGATCTGTAGCTCCGATTGAGAGTTGCACGGGCCTGTGTAAGTGCCAGAGAGTGTCGCATGTCAAATGATATGGCCAGAGATGCACCGCAGGCAGTCAAGAGCTCCGGCGATGGGGCAACGCCAGCCTAGGCACCGGCAGAATACAAGGAAGACGGGCACTGTCATGTGTTTAGCCTATAGCCTAGCAGCGCTAATGATGCGGCAGTTGTGTCAGCGTCGCCAAAAGATGGCGCGGAGATCTGACCGCCTTGGGTTTCCAGGTGAAGCGCAGCCGCGCCTTCTGAGCTGAGATGTGGTTCCTCGGCCTCGAAGCTGAGATGGACGCGCAGCTTATCGGTTTTCGCACGGAGCGCCTTCCACTAATCCAGTGAGCGACTTCTTTCTGAGCATAGACTCCAGAGACCGCCCGCATTCCCATGCTGATTTGTGAGGAGGCGATAGCCTGCGAGCCTTGTCCATACAACATACCGAGTACCAGGCAACAAGTAGAACAAAAAAAGGACGCGGTGCTCACGAGTCAGCTTGCGCGATTGACAAAAACGTTGCGAGATCCGGCGCGTGTCAGGTGGATTTCATAAGATTGTGCCGGACCCAGCTCTGAAGTTACTCTGAAGTGTGGTATACCGGGGCAGTAGCTACCAGTGGCAGCCATGTTGAGGCTGAAGTGCTCTTCCCGCAGACGTGAGAAAGGCTGAAGCCGGTCCGCGCCTCAGCTCTAACCTGAAGAGAGGACAGAACACGAGAACGAGGGGACTTCTGCCAAAAAGCCTCTCTGGGACCATGCATGAGGAGTTACTCCTCTCCGAGGATGATCAGGTCGTGGAAGGTTTTGCAGATTTGTGTCGGGGCTTGCTTTCTATGTCAGGTGAAGCCGCCAGACCTCGACAACACGCCGCGCGCTGCATTGGCGGTCGAAGATGCCGCTGTAACGAGATGACATAATCAGGTCGGTCGTGCAGCCTGCGAAACCGGTGGCTCCGATTCCGATGCCCAGGACGGCGCCAGAGCCATGAAATGACATGAAACCTGCTTCATGCGATTGATCGCAGTTTAGAGGCTGGCCCAGAGGCCAGCGCCACGGACGCAGCTCGGCATGCAAGGATCGTGCACGTGCTGGCCGTTCGTTTGAATGCGACGGGAGATACCTGGGCGATTGTCCGAGGTTGGTGCCATCGAAAGCAAATGCACAGAACAGCGTGGTCGACTTGGATGACCGGGCAGATGAACTTCCATTGTGTGAGTTGTGTCTGCGCTTCTGCGTCGCCGAGGCTTCGGACCAATCGGTGCGAGCCCGTGCGGATACGAATTTCGAGGCCCCGGAAGGACAACGCATTCGAGCTTTCTGCTCTTCACGTCTAGTGCAGTAGTCTTTTACCTGTACTGAAGATGTCAGGGAGTTTCTTCCAGCCAAAAAAACAGTCTCAGTGCCCGGCAGACATCACTGCAATCATCCAGGAATCTCGAGAGCGCATTTGCCGCATGTGGGCGGAGCTGAAGCAACGGTGCCCTGCCATGGCCCAAGCTTCTCAGATATAATGGCCTCCCTCGATGAGTGGAGCCGTAAAGCTTCGGCCTCAGCATCTCCATTCCCAGCCCGCCAATGGCCACTGCACTGCGACATTTCAAGCGCCAACGGGTGACTGTGAGCCTGAGTATGCGCAGAGAGTCAGAGTTTGAAAGCTGGAATCCGAGATTTACCTGGACAACGGTGCCGCATGCGTGCTGGCGAAGCGACCCAGGCCAGCCCTCGGGTCCGTGTTGCGTGGCTTGTGGCTCTGACGTGGCAGTGCCTCACATCGCTGCAGGTTGGGCCAGCGAGGCCCCAGAGACTGAGCGAATTGCTGACACCGCTTCGGGCGGCCACAGGGCTGCAAGATGCACGAAGTCACGAAGCCGGCAGAGAAAGCATCAAGCTTCCGCCTTTCTGCGCATTGCTGTGGTCATCCGTCTATCATCATACGCCCCCAACTATGAACCTCCATAACTGCTATCCATAACGCAAGTACCTTATGATTGGGTCCTTTGGACCCTTAGGGTTATTGAGTGTTTCCATGTTAGGGGTTTGGTGTTTGGATAGTTTGGCAGGGCTCCAGGGGGTTGATGGTTTCCGAGAGCTGGCTGTGTCTGGTAGGATTCCGATAAGTTGCGGAGCAAAAGAACTTGAACCCTAAACCCTAAACACTCGTTTCTACCTCGCTTGTGGGCATAGATCCTTAGCCATGCGAGAGGGAAAAACCGGAATCGGGGTTGTTGGAGTTTGGGTTGGTTTTTGTGATCTGCTTAGCTTACATGAAGCTTCACGGCTTACCGAAAGAAGGACCAGCCAAGCCCGCGCAGCAGCGCTGCATGTCGAAGCTTGAGAGCGCCTCTGAAAGCAGATGCGGCTCGAGCCTAGATTGCGGCTACAGTTGCAATGGCCAGTCCTCGCCTCAGCTGGCCTGTCCACGAAGAGGCAGTTGTTTGCTCAAACAATTTATCATTCAAGGAGCCCCATCTCACGACAAGGAGTTAAATATTAAACCCCAATGTTTATGCGACTTCACCATGCCGCCACGCCGCACGCGCTGCTTTGTATGTTGCCTTGCGTGGAATGGCAATGCCCAGACATGACTTCGCCAACGACGCTTCGTGGGTCATGTGTGAGGGGCCCATGTTTCCGCTGTGTTTTCCTTCTTCGTGTCGATGCTTATAGTTGGTGGAGCTTCAGGTGAGCCATGTTGCAGCACCCACGGCAGTACGCCCAGCGCGCCACTGGGCGCACACAGGACACAGCGTGCATCAGCGCGTGGGATGCATCAGGCCTGCTATACGGCTGCAGCTTTCGGCCCGAACAGGCCAACGTGATGCCAATGTGTTGGTTGGAGAATCCTCCTGAAAAATGAAAGCATCGTCCTGGCGAGGCGGCTCCCATTCAGAGCTGGAGTTCGGGGCTACGAGCATGGCATCGCTTGTTTATGTTTCGTCAGGACACAGTGTTTAGACAGCGAGGGGCAGCTTTCTGTCAGCTCAAGGTTGTCGCAGTTCCTGTCTCCTTCCCACAGCGGCGCACTCGAAGATTTACATCAATTGCTGTCGCTGTGGAGATCTGCAGTCGACGTCCTGGCCTCTTTACTTGACCCGGAATGGCGAAGGGTTAAGCCAAGGCAGGGCCCACACGTCGCATCCAATACGAACCTGGGCCAAGTGCTCAAACTGGCTTACTGCTGCGTCGTCAGGCTCGGGCAAGCTGTTTTATGATGCGAGGCCGCCGCACAGATCGTCAAGTCCAGGAGGCCGCTCTATCCCGAGTCGATACACTGGGCGGGGGATTCTGGACGGCTCGGAATCGAGTCACCCCATATTTCGGTTCGCCCTTCGCTCACGGAGTGGCAAATCTCTTTCGCAGCCCACGCCGCGAGGATGACTCGCCGCCAGGTGTTCTCAACTACGAAGGTTTAGAGGCCTTTGGCACAACGTGCCCTCGCAGCACGGCGAGCGACATCCATCCCATTCTTGGTGCAAGATCTTCTGAACTTGATCTGCGTGCTGGTGCGACGCCAGGACCGCTTCATTCCTTGGAGACCAATTTGTATGGCTTGTATGTATCCGTTTGTCTAACCCTATAAGCCCACTTAAGCGTGTCCACCAGGTATACTGAAGCTGCACACGGTATGCGTATCAGGACGCGGACAGGCGTGCTTTGGAGGAGACGTTGCTGCTGCGCTTGTGTTCGCCGCTTCAAGCCATGTGCTTTTTGCGCATGCATCGAGTCAACAATCAAGGCAAGCAGGCAGCCAAACAATCAATTGCACAATGAGCAAGATCAAGCTGTTGCTATTGCCGGGCATTTTTCTGACAGGACGAAGAGCGGAAGGGGCGCAGTAACGGGGAGGTGTTGAAGCACGATGCAGTGTTTCGATGTCAGGAGCTTCGATGTCGTGTCCTGCAGTGTGAGACTCGGCACCTAGAGTGTAGAGCCCAACTTGAAAGCGTAGAGACCCTGCCACTCCTAGGCTGGAGCATGCTTTGGCACGCGCAGGCCGGGACTTCGGATGCCATCACTCGAATAGTTGGCTCGGCAAGCAGTTTCGGAGCTTCGGAAGTGGGCGCAAGCGGACTTGAAGATCGTCGTGCAGATCACTGTTTGGACCTGAATCAGCTCGCAGATTCTGAGCTCAGCTTTGACCGATTGATGAGGCCTCCATGTCGCCCCTGCAAGCCAGTTGCGAAGATGAAGAAAGGCGGTTTCAGTTTCCTCGAGGGGCTTCCTTCCCATGCCGCCTCCGCTTGGGGGAGTCATACTGTTCTTGCCCTTTGCCGCATGCAGTGTTTTATAGGGTGCCTCTGTACAGTTTGCTCTGCTGGCGCCTTTCTCGGGGTGATTTTTGCCTGCCGGTGTCACCTCTCAGTTCGGCGAGGCTCAGTCGCCTGAGAACCTCAGAAGTATCTAGGACACTGCTTCCAGGCACAGCGGGGGCAGTGTAAACAACGTGAGTTTGCTTAGATGTCTCCGCATGGCGATGGCGTTTGGCGAGCATGAGTGTTGCTGCGCAACCGGGCGGAGGCTGGGGGGGGGGGGTTGGCAAACTTTGCCAGCCAGATTCTGGGGCGTCTGCCGAGCTGTGCAGGCAGAGCAAAACGAGTGGCTAGCTCGAATATTACGTGCTGCAAGTTTGGCTGCTGATTAACATGGCAAATTCGTTGTCGACATGGGAGCCACCAAAACAGATCAGAAAGGATGATGGCCAGAGTGGGCGGTTGTCGACATGACTGCGCTGTGGTCCCAGACGGTTAGGAACGAAGCCTAAGCGAGCCTGTTTCGGTTCGATTTTGGAAATGTGCCCTCACTCGGCAAATCTTTTTTTTTCGTAGCCCACTCCGCGAGGATAGCTCACCGCCTGGTGTTGTGAACTCCGAAGGTCAAGAAGCCTTTGGCTCAACTTGTTCTTCGCAGCATGGCGAGTGACATCCATCCCATTCTTCCTGTTCTTGCGCAAGGCGCAAGATCTTTTGAACCTGATTTAACCCGA